ATATTTTCGTCTGAATATTTTTGTTGAATCAATAGGTTATTGGTTGGTTTGTTACCTGCCAAAGTTTTTTGTTCCTAATCTAATCTTCAGGTGATGAGCATATTGTCGCATTCAAATTGTCCGTAGTGTGAAGAGTTGATTTATTAATTTATACCTTAGATGTAAATTGGAGGTAATATTAACAAAACAATGCTTTGTCAGGAAAATTGTTTATTAACTGATGTCAGCACATGATAAAATCCTCCATCCGATCAAAAAATCCCTATAAAACCAATACTTGAAAATTAATCTGATGCTCACTAGCGACTGGCCCTATTCAGGCAGTGACCTGGGGTTCTAGTGGGAACCTGTTACCAGTAGAGTACAGCAGGTTGAAGATGAGGCAGCAACTCATCGAAGAAGACATTGCGAAATCGTCGTGCTATGTCGGGGATCGGCAGAGGCTGGAATTCATGGACTGACCATTGGATCGGGTCCCAGTGGCTTAATGGTCTGCGAGTTCACCTTGTAACCAAGTCCTGAGTTCAAACTCCGAAGTGTGGGTGCGTATTTCTGAAGAGTCCCAAACTAGGACAAAACGGCTGTCCAGTACTCCTAGTTTTCCAATGGTTCTCTAACTGATGGCAGCTCATGATGAAACCCTCCATCCATCAATACTGTATTCGACCCACTGCATATATACACTTTGTTCTGGTTATATTCTAATGGTTGATGACGTTAGCATCAGCAATTTAAGATTCTAGTAATGGATAGTTCGATTTAATTGGTAGTGATGGTGGAACACAATGATCAGTTGAGATATATTCCAGGCAAACAATTTACTTGAAATACGTTAGTGATATGTAACTTTCTAGGGTGACATATTTGATTCTCTAAGTAATGATTAGGTAAGCTTAGGAAGAATCACATTAGCATTAATTATTCTGATTTCAAAGAAGTACTTCGATTAACTTTCAATAGTACTCTTTTAGCCACTATGTTTACATCATTTGATTCAGCGACATAGTTACTAGCAGTCATGCACGCTTGTTATCTTAATTACAATTTATGGTTTCAAGGAAGTTCACATGTATTTTGATCTAAATAATTTCGGGTTTCAAAGGAAACTGTACTGACTACTTTTCACCTCGAAATGTGTCAATTTGGAAACTGCGAATTAGTGATTCGATTCTCCGGGCTGAGTTGCACCGGGTACACTAGTGATGAGATTCTATCCAAACGAGCGAGACGACGTTTCAGTGTTTAAATCACTTTGACCTGGCTAACAGATACTACTGGTTAATGATTGTTATATACAGCTACTCATCTCAGTCAATCAGTAGTATATACTTCCATGCAACTATGCTTTATTTCCCTCATTATCACTAATAGTATCAAGCACACGACATATTATCATCTGAGTAATTCCCGTTTCCAAATTAGTCTGTGGCGGAATATCACCGAGAAGTGTGTGAATTTTGAATCGGTCATTTCATATGTGGCATCGCTAGCTGGTCTAAGAAACTAGTCAGAAATCAGATGGTTTTGAGTGATTCAGCTCTGTGCGCTGAGTGAAACTGTGTGAACCAGTGAAGAGGTAGGACTGAAACGAGCGAACCCTGCTGTCTGGCGTCTACGTCACTTCGATCTGGCTAGCAACCACTACTGGTTAATTCTCATTCGTATACAAGTACTCATCTCAATCAATCATGCAATCAGACTTACTTTCTTAGTTACCTCATTTATGGTGTCAACCGGATCACATATATTGTGTTCTAATTGGTTTCAGTTATTAAAGGATAGTGTTAGTGATCACTATTCACATCGAACTCTGTGTAGACGGTACAGATTACGGATTTGATTAAGTCACAACGCAAACAACAACAAATAGGAACATCTTTTTGTGTTTTTTGTAGAGTAAGTGGGTAGTTAGACTAGTTGAAGATATTTGTACTTTAAAAATTTACAACTGTCTCATATTCCTCTTTTACCTTCTAGCACACAAATTTGTATTACAAAAAAAGAATTTCTCATATATGAAGAAAGAAAAATTATTTTAGATATTTTACAAAATTGACCATTATTGGGTATAATTGTGCAAAAATTAGTCCTATCATATATCTTTATCTATTTTTATCTATTTCGATGATGATTATGATGATGATGATGATGATAGATGAAGACATAAATAAAGGCATATATTTTGACCTAATTTACTGATTTGCCATTCTATTTTTTTCTCTCTTTTTAAATCTTTGCTTGCTTTTATTTTCTCTATATGTGAATGTTGAATGAAGTCAACTTTTTTTTCGTCCTCGTCTTCCTCCACTTCTGTCTTTATTTCATTCATCAAGGGAAAAGAAAAATCCTACCCTATTAGGTATATGCATAGAGAGAGATATACGCGTGTGTACATTGTGCCGATAAAATAAAATATTGAAGAAAAACGGAGAGCAAAATAAAGTAGATACTAACTACTAGTAATTCTCCTCCTCTTCGTCTTCTTGTATACAGCTGTAGGGAATCAGTTAGTAGTAGGCTAGTTAAATGTGATGATGATGATTATGTGCTGTAAAAGGAAAATTTTCCCAGGCTATAATATTTCTTATGGCTCTCTTTCTCTCTCTCTCTCTCCCTGTCTCCGTCTTTGTCTTTCCCTCCCTCCTTTTACTGCGAATATATTACATATACTACCTCCAGTACTTGTTTATTTCGGCGCTGAGGGAAAATATTCCATTTCCTCGAAGAGATGGTTGGAGGGTGGGATGAGGTGGAGCAGATGGAGTGGAGAGTGTGTAGTAACCTCTGCGTACGTGCATATCCGCAAAGACTGTAACTATGATTTTCACTTGATGCACAAATAGGAAAGCAAACAGGCAAAAGAAAACTACATAAAAATAATGATTTGCACATCTGTGCCTCTGATTTTTTTCCTTCTTCTACTACTACCTGAATATTTCTAAGAATTTAATTTAATATATGTATATTTGTTGGTTAATTTCTGTGCTTGTTTGTTCGTTCGTTCGTTTGTGTGTTTGTGTGTGCACGCACTTATATTCGGTTTTTTCTGCGGTGGGGTGGGGGTGTGGGGAACCAGTCTTTGTATCTTGTCTGTTCGTTTAATTGTTTAGTTTTCATCGCTTGTATTGATTTTGAAATATCGAGTCATGTCGCATTTGCATATTCCCTGTATCTATATCTGTCTAGTCGTGTATGTATGCGTGTGTGTGTTTGTGTGGAAGGGTGCTGGTGGTGGTAGTTAGGTAGGTAGGTGCATATTATCTCTCTGTCATATCTAAGTGAATTTTACTCTATCTTAATCACTTATATTCTCCTATACATTCAACTACATTTATCTTCATCAATAAATATTATAACTAGTAGTATTATTATTAACAACTCTATCGTCGTTTACATCGACATCCTCATTTATTTTTATTATAATTATGATTATTAGTCGATAAAATACAAACCACGTCTGCTTTATAGGTCAAATTTTGTCTTTGTACAATATTATCAGGTAATAATTGTATTTTGCAAGTGCATTTTTGCGTCTCTTGCTACTACTACTGTCCTGTACACTTGTTTCGTATGATTCTTTTACTACCTACTACAATTATTACATTGATGACAACGCGAATAGCAAATGCGGACTATGTTTACTTCCTTTGCGTTTGTCTAGCTTAATTTTGACTGAGCCTCTCTGTATGCAGATTAATTCACGAAATTATTTGTCTTTTCTGTGATTTTCTCACCTCATGGTGGTGATGGGGTGAGGCTTTTCTTTTAAAAGATTTGTTTCATATTGTCCGGCGGTAATTTCCCGTTACAATTTCAATGAAGTGAAAGGGGTTTAAGATTTTTTTATATCTTATGGTCAGCTTGCTAATGAATAAGTCGCTAGTCAGTATTCATCAGACAGATTACATAATCATGTATGAATTTGAGATAGTCGTGTTGGTTTTGCAGGTTTTTAAAACAGCGCACAAACTCGAAATCTTAATCGATTAACTGTAATGTTGTGAGACTGTTTTGAAACCAAATTATATTTACGTTGTCAGCTTATTTTACTTATGCTTTATTATAGTGACGAAATGTGTATTATTATTCTCTTGGGTTCTGAGTGGAACATACGGCTTCAACAGCACATATCCACTTGGCTTTGTTCTCTGTAGTTTTCTCCAGTTGACCGCATAGTCGCCTATGGGTCCTCGTCTCCCCCTCTTCACACGATCTCCTCCATAGCATACTCGGATCTACACCCAACTTATCGTTTCTCGTTCAGGTTCTATTCAAGTGAAATGTAATCTAATTATAAGTAATAGACTATTGCATTTATTCATTCGTAAGGATCTTAATGCCACTGACATTATCTGATTTACGGTGGCATTTAATTAGTTTTCCTCCCATCTCTTCTCTTTCTGAGTGTCCAGCTGTGAGTTTTCAATAACGGTATGTGCGGGGCTGCTAGCTTCGCACACAAAGTTTCTTGCTTTCCAGGATGGTGTTCACGAGTGTGTCGATGGGAATCGAACCTCGATCATGTGCTTTAATTAAATTATAGTGCTATACATTGACGTTTGAGAACAAGCCTAGGGGTTGGGGTTAATTCGGTGACACCTATTCATTTTTGAATGAGAGAATGTCGTGACAATACAGAAGCATTTTTGTCTTTGATTGAAGTAGGCAAAATAAATAGTGGATGTATTCGCCTAACTTTCCACTATTTCTGGGGTAACATACTCTAAGGACTCTTCAGGTTATCTGCTTTTCTTCATTGAATCTCTTCCCGCATATTGGCTATATTTAGTTACGTTTACTTCTTTGACTCAGCTGTTATTAATTGAAAATTTGAAGCTTCTGAAAGTGTGCAAAAGAGTGGAAATAGCTATACTTTTCTTCGTAGTATTGTATAATCACTTGTTTACTGTTCTGTGCATATTACTCTGTCTCTCTCTCTCTCTCCCTTATTCATTATGCTTTAATGATTTTTCCCCACATTTTTCTTCGTTTATTCATAGCTTTATGATTCAATGCTCGGTATTAAAGACTCGAACAATTCCACTGTAAATGAAACAAATATATGTCCTCGATTATCCACGCATACAACACCTCCTCCAAGTCTTCTTACCGGAAGTAACTACAATTGTCCAACAATACCATCATTATCAAGAAGTCGATCTGACATGGAATCAATGATTAGAACAGCAGACCACTTACGTGATGATCATGATCCATGCGTTGTTTATACTAATTTAAATGCTCCTGTTGGTAATACTGGATCATGTATGTCATCTTTGTGTGGAAATGATGATATTGATACACGTCGTGGAATTGAAGCTTCAATTATTGGTGGTAGTGGTGGCGCTGGCGATGATACAACCAATCGTGAATTGAAATCTTTACGTTATCCACCCTCGAATGATTCCCTTGGTGTCTCATCGACAATTTTCGATCCTTACTATGGAATGGGTAAGTTGATTGTGATTTTTGTTTTCATGCTAACAATCAATGGATATCAATGTTTTCAATGCCTCGTCTCAATTTCTGAATGTTACCTAAAATATCGTCTTGAGCTCTTCTTAGGATTGGTTGACAGGATCTCCATTTTCAGAATAGGTTTGATTAGTGTACATTTACATTGCCTGTTATGCCTCGGTGGCATAGCGGGTGGGACGCTCGCCGACCATGAACATGGTCCGGGGTTCGACCCCCGGCCGATGCACTCCTTTACCTCGCAAAGCAGAAATAATGCTGGTAAAGAGGAAAGGTTGGACATGAGGCTGGCAATCCCATCCTGTAAAAATTAAACACAGCTGCAGAAAATTCAAGCCACTAGCTTGAGGCCCTATGTTCCACTGGGAACGTGAAGGCTACTCATGTCTATATCTATATTAAGTATGGAATCCCTATAATGAGAACAGAAAAATGAAGCTCAGAAAAAAGACCTCTTCCTAATAATCTCCTATACAACATAAAGTGGTCACGTCTTAGTTACATCCCGGAGTGTGATATCCTTTCACTAGGAGAATTATTCAGAGTACAACGTTATAAGGAGCAGAAAAGATTCTAAACATAACAGCAACTAAATAAGTGGGAACCTTTAATACGAATCAATAGTCCTTACTACTCATCAATGGTGTGATCTAAAGCGTGGGCGTATGTTTCATCTGTTGAAGACAAAAGTTGCTTGTGTCCGTGTGTGTGTGTGTGTGTGTGTCAGGCGTGCCTACATACATCACTGTTGTCTTTGATTTGACCTCTGAAATATAACTTCAAGCTATATTGTGTTTTTATAATAATAATATTAATAATTTTGAATAAATAGAATTAAGGTACATATAAATTCTTCCGCGGCGGGAGGGGTATACTTTATTTTTGTATATTATTTGATTTCTGTAATTGCTTTCACAGTTCCAAGTATGTGATATTATATTATCATCTTGATGAGGATGATGAAGCGATACGCATTCATCTATTTATTTCCTTTATTATTTATTTTGACTAGAAATTAAAAAAAAATAGCAACTACACTATAGCACATTGAATTTCTTATAACTTTTTTCTGCATAAAAATTTCTTGACCAATCCCTAAAAATGATTTTCTTTTCATTCTATAGCCTATGTTGTATCGACATGTCTTGTAGAGAGAAAACATCAGTGTGTAGAGATGTTGTACATAATCATTTCTTCAACCTTCATCTCCCCCGCCCTCCGTTTTTTTCTTGCATTTTGTCAATTTTATCCCTTGTGTACGTGTTTAGTGCATAGCAATGTTTACTTTCCTCCTAGTTTCTATTTGCTTGTTCTTCTTCATATCTCCCCCCTCCCTCTGTCCCTCTGTTGATGATGAATAGACGTTTTGCTTTCTTATTAACTGTAGTAGTGTGAATACATCTGTGTTTTCTCCTTCTTTACTGCATGTGTTTTCTATTTAGGGGTTGATTCTTTTCCTTTCTCTTCTCTCTTCTTTCTTTGTGGATGCGCGCTGCTGTGTCCCTTGGGGTCGCATATGTACGTGGTTTTTTAGCTATCTGGCTATTTAGTATTATTATTATTTGTTTTACTTTTACTATGCGCGCTGATTCACTTACACAAGACAAGTGTGTGAGTGTGTTTGTTTGCAATGGATTTAGCCTTGAGGCAGGTTTTTTTCATTCTCATTTTTATTTCTAACACAGGGTTTACCTAATAATAATAATAATAATAATAATAATAATAACAATAATAATAATAAATCATGGCTACAATTCTCATTAATTTGCTTGTCTTTCTTACTTTCTTAATTGATATTTTTAATCTTAGCGTTTCTTAAAATCAGGTCTTGTTTCTCCCTCCATCCCCCGTTTTTGTCCTCAGTAATGCAATGCTTGATGGCTGGTTGGCTGACTGACTGGCTTCCCTTTTCTTTTCATCATAGAAGTCTTTCCCTATCTTTTTTCTACTAGTAGATTTGAGTTCATTGTTTGATAGATATTCTCTCGTGTGCCCGTATGTGTGTGTGTGTGTGTGTGTAGTGATATGTGAGATCAAGTGTGCAAATTTAAATTAATGGTGCACAATTTGCATCATGATAGTCGCCTTTGATTGTTTTTTCTGCTTTTTACTCCCCTATATAATAATTGTTGAATTACGCTTTGTTTCCCCCATCTTCTTCTTTTGTTGTACTTACAGATACAACAGCCTGTAACGGTGCTGGTGGTGGTGGTGCCGGCAGCGGTAGTGGCTGCGTCAATACAGTTCAAGGTGGTGGTGGTGTTTGGTCGAGTGCAACGAATGTGATTAATCCAGGTTGTGTGACTGGAACAGCGCATACATCAAGCTTTCCTTCACATGATAATTCTGCTTGTCATTTAACATCAGAATTGACTTCTGTTTCAGTTTATCCCAATCCTAATTCATCTATTCATCCGGATAGTAGTAATCATTTAACACATGTAAATATGATAATGTTTTTGTTGATGATTTCATTGAATTTTATGTATCAGTTTATATTAACTTGCAGGATGCGTGAGCGCTTTTCGTAAAGCACCATGATTTTTAAAAACAGTCGTTCTGGGAAGATATTTTTTCCACGTTGCTGTAGTAATAGTAGTAGTAAAGCCATATGAAGGGTTTTCGACTGGTAGTCACGCAGTGGTTTGAAAGATTGATGTTTAAACGGAACACGAATAGTAATTTTCCGTATAGTTGTATATTCTCACGAACTCCCCTATTATTCCTATGAATATACTGGTGAAGAACATCGTGTGTGTGTGTGTTTCTTCTGACTACTCAGGAATTGACGTGCTGTGTATAAAGAAGCTGTTTAGCCACAAATTCTATGACAATATTTTGTTTAGCAAAGATTTTGACGAAACTGTAGCGTTTTTTCGTATATCTTAACGAATCGTTATGCGTTTTTTTATGGATGACATTTCGCATCAGTCGGTATCAACTCTCTGTTTAAGGGTTAAAAACGTAATTTTACCGAAAATTGCATTTGTTTTCAGGATACAGCATCATCTTCATTACATAAGGGTCGTTCTACCATTGACAGAGTATCCTACCGTCTGAAAGCAATGCGCTTTTTCATACTCCATGGATTAAATAAAGCTGTTAAGATTTAATAACTTAGAAAGTTATAGGTTTTTAGTAAAACATAACTCCAGTGCATTATTTGTGTGTGTAATGGGATCACAGTGGGTGAATGAGTATCGACTACAACCTCAGAGACAAGTCTTGACTTTGCGGGAGGTATCTCCATCTTCTTCAATTAGTTTATGGTTAGATGGAAGTAGATTTACAACAAAGTAAGAAAAGTCATTTCAACATAAGCATTTTTATGAAGTGTACTTTGTTTTACTGATCTTCTCGAGATTTTAAGAACCAATAGTTCGCATAAAACTGTTTACAATCGCTTAGATTTGTTTAACCTCTCTTCTCTTCAAAGTTGTTGACATTATGACAGGTGAATTCATTTGTCTGCTCTCATTCTCTTTTTCGCTCTTTTATGATTTGTATGTCAACCTAAACTAGATTCACCTTCATGTTTAGTATTACATGGGATCCAACTACCTGGCAGCTCTGTATATGGGCCGTAAAGTACGCATTCTTTCTCTCAACTTTCTTGAGACGATTTGTTTCTCTCTCTCTCTCTCTTTCTTGGAATGCGATGTTTTGCGTCTCGTAAATCTTCACTTTGGTGTTGAGCCTTTCTTCAGTATGTACATCCCTTGCTAATTGAGATATTTGGACAATTTAGTATTTATCTTTTTCTGGTTCTTGGTAAAACTCTAAGCTATGATTGGTAATGACGTCTGTGCGTAATAACTTGTTAAAGACGATAGAATATGTACTTCAACCAAAACTTACAGTATTTATTCTGTAATTCGTTCATCTTTCGACCTTAAACATAATTTAATAAAAGTAGCACTGGTTCTAGTGTGTGTAAATGGATTACTTAGATTCTCTTTCAACTGTAGGTAAATAATGTATTGATGTTTTGGACACTAGTAGTCCTTATTTCAAATGCTGTATTTGTTGTTGCATTTTATTCTAATTCTAATATTATTTTTCCATATCTTGATAGGGAATGAATTATTCTGGTGCGGGTAGTTTGTATGCACCGTCTGCGTTACGATCAGGTTCGCTGATTGGATTGCCGGAACAACAACATCCATGCAATATGCCTCAGATTGGTAAGTTATAATATTAATCAGATAACCCGTTGTTGTTGTTGCTGCTGTTGCGGTTGTTCAACTTGGCTTTCACTTTCAGAATAGACTGACAACTTTGTGTTTGTGTTTCAGTGTCTTTCTGTCTGTCTGGATTGAACATAGAACTTGGCACCGAAGTGCAGCAGTTCGAGTTGCCACCTTCCAAATAGCACACAGAAGTAGACAAGAAGATGAGTGAAGAGAGTCAACAGAGTTTGATAAGTATAAGAGTGAAATAGAATGGGTAATGGGGTAGAAAGGAATATGAAAGATTACAGAGACTGAATACATCTGCGCTGGCCATTGACAACGATTTTGAACCATGTCACTTATTGTCTCCAGCCATTGATTCTTAGAGTCCCGAGAGCCCCAATGTTTCAATGTATTGTGGTGCTGACGCTTTGTTATTAGTTTATTGTTTTGTATTGTATTTTTGTAGCACAATACAATCAGACAGTCTCCTTTTCATCATTTCGTTCATTTAAAACGTTACAAATTCGTTTTCAACTGTTATTGAACTTTAAAAAAAGATGTTTTTCGAATTATTTTCACTGATAAAGTGAATCTGTTTGATACTTCTTAGATTATCAGCATTTAATTTGTAGCGTTGTTTTGCCTAAGTTTAACTGGTTGAGGAGTATATATATAAATGTACGAGTATTTCTTCTACTTTATTTTTTTTCCAGAAATTATTCGGTGAGATATCCTTATTTTATTCGTGTGTGTGTGTAAATGGGGAAAGGTTTTCATTGATTATAAATAAGTGTAACAATCTCTGTGGGTCAGAATTCAGGTCAAGATAAATTACTTAGTAGTTATTTCTGCCAGTAATTAAAATCATTTCAATGACTCTTTGTTCAGAAGTTGTCTTACCCTTTATCATCATACCCCTAATACTATGATGTCTTCATATGCATTATAGTACGTTGTCTGCGTAGGGAGGAAACGAAAGGAGAAGAAGACGAAGCTAGAATACATACGTGGAACTATTGATGGAAATATAATCTATTCATTGTTCTATTTCTAGCACTATTATTTTTGCTTATAGGAGAGTCTAAAGTGTATTTTTGATCTTTTAAAGAATCTCCTTATTTTTGTCCACTAAAACATGACAACCAAACCATGGCGTCTTTGACTGTTGGTTTGAGGCACGTAGAGAGTTGTTAAGGTTCTTGAGGCGCTTGAAAAATCACTGACTGGTAGGTTGACTCAAAGACGTTCTCAGTTGTACAGATATACTCACTTTTTATCCACGTAATTATTTTTTCTTTCATGGCCTTTAGTTTACCTATCTTTATGAAGTATGGCAACTTGAATTTGTACTAAGTTCAACTTTGAATACGATTCACTAATGAATTCTTCATTAGTCTTAAGGGTTAAAAGTTTTCACCTAGACACATTTTTCGTGCAGTTATATATTCTATAATGTAAATCAATTTTGTCTATCGTCTATTCTTTTTGGCCATTATGATGTAGTTTTTTTTGGTAAAGGTTATTTTCTTAATTCCAATAGTGACTGGATCCATGCAAAAGGGATCAGAGAGTAGAAATGTATACATTCTGCATTTATAATGACTATTTTATAGAATGTTTTTTTGTATTTTATTTTTCGTCTTTAAAACTTATAGCTCATCCATCAGAATCAAATCCATCATATACTATGGGAGAATTTACAATTCACCAATCGTCTGATGTCAACCCACCATCTGGTCTTATTCCTTCAGGCGTGTATGAACAACGTTCACTTGCGAATTTGAATACACATGTATGTTATTATGGTTGTTGTTGTGGGTTGTAATTCATATTAACGTACACATTATTACATAACTCTTGCATGCATAAATTCTTTAATTAACTAATTTAATCGACAATGGATCTTATTTTATACATACATTATATATGATCCTTTGTTATGGGTCATAATCATGATGTTTTGGATCATGTTTTTTTCTGGTTTCTTCTTTGGTATCACATCTTGACAACGAGCCAAATGCTAATTAGGATAAAAAAATTCGCATATTTGATATCTATGACTCATTTGTGTCTGTGGGTGTATGTATGTCTATAATTGTAGGATTTCGACAGACACCTTTATACGCCTGTTATAATATCTCGTTTATCAAAGAGTTCTTTTCATAATAGAACTATAATTTTGTCTTTCTCTTATTATTACATTATTTAATCAGCATCGATCTGGGTTTGAATTCATACATATTAGGGGATATAGTTGTCTTCTTACACTGTATCTTCAATCACTTATTAAACTTAATGAGGTTTCGTCCAACTTACGAAATTGAATCCGTGTAAAGGTGATAAAATGAGGATGAACATGTTAAGTATATAGTTTCTATGGTTGCAAAAATAACAAGACCATAATTTTCACTTTTTAGTTGCCTGCGTAGATTTCCCACTTAGCAGCAGATTATAAGTCTTACTTATTGTGTATGGGTTATAATACTACCACCCGAGATTCGAACCCGTAGCCCATTGATGACTGTAAGTAGACTGTTTAAGCCAGCTAACCCCATCGTCTCCTAGGAATCTATGTGTGATATTTTGTGGATGAATAAGGTTAAAAATACAGACAATTACTTAGGCACATTTTATGGAAGGTGGTTATTACTATCCAGCTAGCTGTCCGCATTGTGGAAGTTCTGTCTATCTGTCTGTTTTCGACATAGAACTTTGCACATATGTGCACCAGTTCAAGTCTTCACGCTCCCTTCAGGTAGCACACAAAGCAGGAGAAGAAAATAGAAGAAATGCATAATAGAGACAGTAAACAGAGGTGTAAGACAAAGGGAATAGTAATAACGAAGAACAATATAGTTTCATTGGAAATCATAAGTCACAGGCATCTGGGCCATTGAGAACGATTTTGAGCCATATCACCAATTGTTTCCAGCCCGTCATTGGTTTTTACCGCCCCGAGGACCCCAACCAGTCAGGAAGTCTACACCTTCCTACGTGGCTTAAACTAGCTGTTGTGGATTTCATTTAGTGGTTTGACCGCTGCTATCTCTTTTCCACTCTGACCCTATGTCAGCTAACATTTCCCGTCGAGGAAGGCGATGACTAGGCATGCGTGTAACAGATGCCCTAACTATCTCAATCGGAAGTTCATTTCCTCTTGACTTATCTGAAACGTTAAGAGTGTTAGTATTGCGTGACCTCATAATACAATGGACAACTGCTTGAAGCAGTCTGTATTCTTTTTCTGATGGTTGGAATCAACGTCGAAAAAATTTATGAAAGTGATTTGTACTATTGACCAGTTGGATCATTTTAATACAATATAGACACGCTCTCTATATTGTTCTAAATATACTGGGGATTCTCTTTAAAACTAAAAACTGTTTTCCTCCCTATCTTATATGATTAGTTATCATAGCCGTGTTAAGCTTTGATAATTATGAGTTATTGTTGTATATTTGGGTTTATTGTAAGGTTTTTGTTAAATCTATCGTCCTCTTTTCATCTTTTGCCTTTAGAATGCTACTGCTAATAATAATAATAATGGTAACAATAACGCCAATAGCAGTTATCCAACTGACATGATGGGTTGCAATCGTGAAACAATGATGGCGTTGACAGGTATGCGCCTCGTAATTATTTCATTACATTTTCTACTTTATTCACCATCATCATCACTTTCCTTATTTTAATTCACATTTAACTTGACAATACTCATTCGTTATTGTTCAGAATTTGAATTTAAGTGTATATCCTCTAATATTACAACTGTTCATTGATGTAAAAATGTGTGATAATTTACCACAATGAAATGACTGGTAACTTAAGATTTATAGAGGACTAAGGGAACATTAAGTATGCGAAATAGAACAAAAAAATATGTCGCAAAAGAACTTGAACTTAGGGTCCCTTAGGTTGTATGATTGGAGTTCTTACCCATTGGTCTACGGTGTTTACACCATAGCTCAGCTTGAATCAGACAACAAATGAGATGACTGAAAATCGTTTTCGATCACGCGGATATATTCGCTCTCTGTGGAAGATCTTGGTACATCAAATTCTCCGTGTACTTATTTTCTTTATCTCGTAGATTTCCTATCATTTTAGTTCCTCTGAAGATTTTTCACCCCACTTTTGTATGCCACACAGAGTGTGCTGCACTTTTATGCAAAGTTCTACATTGTAAACTCAATCAGTCAGTTATTACGTGGTTGTGCACTGTGTTGATCTGTCAGGCAAAGATATAGTTATAGTTTGAATAACACTATAGTAGTTTATCCCCCCCCCCCAATTTTCCTCTTGTATTTCTATAATTTCGCGGTAATAAAGCGTTCTAATATAGTGCTTATTTCTAGATCAAGGATACTGCAAGTGAATAAGTCTGTATAGAGTAAGTATGAATACATCTCCCAAAGTCTTTTATTCATTTAGTAAGATGTAACGTAAATTTTCATATTATGGAACAATTCACTTTGTGTAGTTCCATATGAATTGTGTGCATGACTTGTACTCTGACTTCCGACTAAGAAAAGGGAAAGTTCGGTGGATGTCTTCGCCTATATTGCTTTCTGCTATCTCATTAAGGATATTATGTAACCACTCAGTACAATAACGCCCTAAATCCTGGCGACTGCATTTGCTTTCACTTAAATTAATCTTTCTCATCCTATTTTTTGTTGTTGTTGTTTTTGCTTTGTATTATAGGATCTACGGCAGAAGAACTGAGTTTCACTGCTCATTCGTCCGGTATGGGTTTAACGCATTCCTCTACATCATCCATGTCTGCTAGTACCTCTGCACCTCATGGTGGTGGCGGTGGTCGGGGAGGTAGAGGTGGTCGTGTAGCTGGGCAAAAGCGTCGTGGATCCACAGTCAAATCTACTAATAATCCTCTTAATTCGGAAGCAAATGTTAACCCCATGGAAGCAAACACAAGCGATATGGTTTTAACATCATCTAATGTCTGTCAGTTATCCACTACTACTGGTGTTAGTTCAGAGTGTTCGTCACTATTTGGTGATTTTGATAATGGCAGAAATTATGGCTGTGGTCGGACACCTAGTCTGTGTGGTACAGATTCAGAGGAGACAATTGATCCAGATGAAACACCTGAACAAAGGGCCGAACGAGAACGTAGTCGTAGACAAGCGAATAATGCACGAGAACGGTAAGCGTATCCCTATAGACTATGCTGCTAATATTTAAGCTCATATGTGCTTACTAAATTGCAGTATTTATAATGTCTCATTTTTTCACTATATTCATTTCTTAATCGTGTGTTTGTGTCTATGTAAACGAAGTAACGTTTGACTAGTTTCCTCATATTCGTGGGGCTTTAGATAATGTGAATTCAATACTCGATTCTTAACTACTAAGTAGTCGGTTAACGTTGGTTTATTGGCTCATGAGTTTAAGCATTTGATTTCCAATCAGAGTGGGTCTCCCGTTTGAATCCCTCTTCATCACTTCAGCCTAGGTAACTGGGTCGCATCATCAACCCTCATTCTCATAGACTGGAATATAAAAGATATCATCGTGGAAATTAGTTCAAACAGCATTTAATTACGATCCTCGCCAAGGATTGTTATCAGAAAAATCTAAGTAGAATAATCTTTCTGTGTACACGTATATTTAAGTAGTGTATATAAGTAGTAGTTAGCGTTTTTACTGTTTATTCTGTTTAGTAGGAGAATTTCCATCTTTTAGGAATTACTTGGCTAAATAGCTTATCCTTGGTGATATATATAACCACTATTTTCATTAATTATTACATTGTCTGTAATTGTATATAAAAAAAGGCTACGAGTTCGAGAGATCAATGACGCCTTTAAAGAATTGGGTCAAATGATTAATTTACACACTGGGAATAGTCAACCTCTTACAAAACTTATGATTCTTCAACAGGCTGTTACAGTTATAACAGGTTTGGAACAACAAGTTAGAGGTTAGAAACAAATATATATATACTCGTATAACTGATTTCTGTTTCTAGTTATCTTTCGCGGTTATGCTTATATAATATATATGTCAGTGAAAATCATTCAAACACTTATATGTGTATATAAAATACACACGTGTATATATGCTTGATATTAGCATGTAATCATTTTATTATACTTACTTATGCATGTTTATATCTTTCCCTTTCCTTTTTATCTTCGTCTGCGGGATCACCACCTATGCTATGCCATCATTCATTCACTATTCATTCCTACATTCCTATCATTCGTCGATATTATTCCAAATTTATTGAATATGAATGAAAATTCTACTTGATCATATCCCCTTATGCCCGTATCATTTCTATACACATATATGTATATATCTGATCTGTATTGCTGTGTCTATCCAATCCAGTATTCGAGTTCGTGATATCAATGATGCATTTAAAGAGCTTGGACGCATGTGCATGATGCATTTGAATAATGAACGACCACAAACAAAACTTACAATTTTACAACAAGCTGTATCATTAATCACAAGTTTAGAACAACAAGTTCGAGGTAAGTTTGTAAATATTATTGTTTCTCTCTTTCTTCTTTTCTTGTAATACCTGAAAGGTTGACTGTAGTTCATTCATTTAATGGTTAGTCCTACTACAAATTGCCATGGAAACGATGTTTATTAACAAATTGCTTAATATGGAATATATTTTTGGTGTATTTTTGTAAAATAATGCCCGCCTCATGACTTATTGGTCATTATGGAGATGTGATTCACTCTCAGCTTAGAGTTTCTCTACACACCTACATTAGCGCCTGAGTATCTGGATAGATAGTATCATCAGGCGTCACACGCACAATGTGTATGTGTGTGGCTCAAAGCTCTGAATTCTAACTACTGCTGCCGATCATTATTAAAGTATAGTTTGATATCTTACGTTTTGTGTTATGTTTTTACAGTGGTGTGTTCTTGGATTTTGTTTATTGTCATTCATTCAATAGATTTTGTGATATCAGTAACAATTGATATCAATTAAACTAAACGATATACCAAGTAGTTGATTCATTGATGGGGTACATTTGTATCTTCATTAGAAAAAAAACCAGATTTACCGGTTATTTCCATTTGTCAGGCATACTATTTTGGTATTTCCTTCACCGAAGTTTTGTAAAATTTCCTAGCAGTAGTTATATTGTGGAGAAAGCATTACTCTTCAGTGTCGATTTTCTACTTCATATTTGAACGTTTAAAACTTAGTCGTGAGAAAATCAAGAAAAAGTAGTGTATGAAAACTAGGTGTTAGCTTGGTCATATTTTTCCCCTTTTGATTATCTATTTATTACTTAAACTTTGTTCATTATTGGCACCATGAGATGCATCACAAAAAATCCATTAGTTTGATCGAGAGCCGTGGTGCTGCCCGAACGTCCAAGCTGAAGCGAGTAGTTGTCTTAAGGGGTCACTCGCCCCCTAGCCTTTGGTTTGAAGTCTGATCCATAGGGAAGTAGAGCAACGTCAGGAGCGACATTCGCATGATTACCAGTGATCAAAACAGAAGCTCATACGCCAATCAATCCTTTCTGCTTCTGGAGCCAATGTACACTATAGGTTTGGAATCAGGGTTCTCCAGTTTCACCTGCATATCCATCCACCAGTCTGGTGGTTATCGCCAAAAATTCGTATTCGCCGTTTCACTTTTGGTGAGGAACACAGTGAATCATACTTATCTGATAGATGTGTTTCGGGGAAAACACCGTAGTCTGCCCATTCTCGACCATTTCAGCTGGTTCTTGAGGGCTGTTTCAGGCTACACTGGTACAGTCTACTTCCAGTCAGGTTATAAATCGTTGGCCTTTAATGTCTTTTTTGCTTCACACATACTTCATACTTCTTGTGTCTGTATATTTATTTTGTCGAACATCTTGAATACAGTGTATTCAAAAGGTTGTAGGTTTGCGTTTAGATAAAATGCTTATTTCCAACACGAATTTAAAATATAAAAAGGGAAAATGCAACACATAACCGAGTGTTTATGAAGTTGTCTGTCTTGGATTTCCCGGAAAGTCGCAAAATCTTTGTTGACACTAGCGTCTTCATGGCATGCAGTTACTTTTTAAAGCTATTATTGTGTAATAAAGCTGTTCTACTGTCGATTGTTCATTTCGTACTATAAATACATGTGCATGTTAAACTTTTTTGTTTACTTTATTTTTATATTTAAAGTACTTTTTTAAGCATATTTGGTTTGATTTGCATATTATGAACTGTTCGTCTTTCTAAAAATAGTCGGAGATGTGGTGGTGGGGGTTATGTAATATGGCTCACCAGCTACCACGCATGTGGTCTGTGTTCGATTCCCTACCGGCTCACCCCTAAACCTCGTCTGGCTGGTATTTAGCCGGGAAGAGATGGGATATCAGGTGTGAGGCTATTAACCCCACCTCGTAGGAAAAGCTCAAGCTCTTTTGATACTTCAAAGCTTGAAGTCTAATGTTCCAATTGGAACACAAAGAATGAAATAAAACTTAAAAATTATCAAGCTGAACTAGTCAAGATAACCAGTTTTCTAGGTCAATAATATCATCTTATTTTTTTTAAATCTTTGTGTTTATTTTCAGAACGCAATTTAAATCCAAAACAAGCTTGTTTAAAGCGTCGTGAAGAGGAGAAAAGTGAAGCACATTTCAGTAGCAGTAGTAGTGGTAGTAATACGCATATCAATGCAGTTGGAAGCGCCATAAATCGTTTGTGTAATAATAATAATACAGTCAATTATACTGTGTCAGTCACATCTTCAACTACTATTGGTTCTCAGAATACACCGAGTCATATGCCAGATTATGATCCACGCTTGTCGCATATCGCTCATGGAAGTGGTATGTTTTTTTTCTCATTTATTTATTAGCTTTTCTATTAAATGTTTACACTGTTCACAATTATACTTATAAATTGTTAATTAGCGTGGAAGCTCTTATTTATTTATATTCCATTGGGCGAAGTAATTCAGTCATGGTAGTCACCCTACAATGTCGTCATCTTTGATGGCTCTTCAGCATGTGCTACGAATGTTGTCCCTAGTGGGTTTCCATACTACTGGTTTTTCGCTAGCCTCAGAAACGGATGAAAAAGCCGGAGATACGGTGGTACGCCTGAGATTATAACGCTGTGGGATGAAGAATATGTGTGTTAGATAGTCATCCGTCGGTGGATCACGGCTCTTTGGTTGAGGTCCAAGAGATAATTCGAGTCGATTACTCGATAGGTTTATGATATTATAACCAAGAATCGTAATCATTGGCAAATAAACTACCGTGTAATTGTCTGTTCTCTTTCTGAAAGTAAAATGAATGCTGAATGATTTTGACAAATATGCTTACTTGCTCTCTAGATGATCTACCTCATTTATTCCATGTCTGTTTTCCTCGTATATTGTAGTGACTTAATGAATACTAATAATTATTATATTTTATCTGGTAAAGTTTGTATGTGATTTACTGAGTGACAGTAATATGACTTACGTAAGTGACGTGTTTCGTTTGCAATTTCAACAAAAATCCATTTAGTGCAATGTTACTTCCTTAGTTTGTAATACTTCTTACTGTTTACTTCTTTGAGTAAATATCTAAGTGTTAACACATTTACACTTTTTTTTCTCTAAATTTTAGGTGTTTATAGTGAAAATACATCGATAGTGAATAGTCTTAATGACTTGAACACAGCGTCTGCTTATGTGCCATCTAACCCGACTTCTATTGGCTCCGCCTATCTACATCCAGATGTTCAACAACAGTGTTCATCATCAGACCAATTTAGTCATATACCCTCGCAACCACATCATATGTCAACAGTAAATAATTTTAATAAAAATAAAAAATCTTCAGATAATTGGCATTCTGGAAGTGGCGGCGGCGGCGGCAGTACACAGATGCAGTTATCCTCAAGATCTCCATGTTCCTTAATACAACAAACAATCCCGCCGACAAATTCACATCGATTTGGAACTGTTGGCATAGGTCATGCTCCAAATGCAGAATACAATGATGATGAGGATGATGACGAGGAGGAGGAAGAGGAAGAGGAGGATGTTGAAAGTAGTGAAGATGATGAGACGACCAGATCGCGTACAGTCCCATCAATTTCAAAACTTGACGGGAACAATGAAACTATGCGTTCTATCCAGCATTCATCCTCATCATCATCTCTACTTCCTAATAGTATTAATACTAATAGTAACAGCAATAATAATAATAATGGAGGTGCTGGTTAAGTTATATATATAACTCAATAAATCTTTCATTTTATCAGATGTTTCAAAATTCAGTTTATCTCCTCATTGTTATTGTTTATTATGTTATGACGATGACTATGGTTATCATCACAGTTTACTTTTATGCATTTATATAATGTTTCAAAAGGCATTTTCATTCTTTTTTTTCTCTTTCTTTCAATGCATTTGTTATACAGTTTATTTTGTTTTGTGTGTTTTGTTATTTCTCTTTGTTGATATTATTCTTGTTATATTACTATGATTATTATGATCCCCCTCCCCCCAATGAATAATTATGAAAAATTGGATCATTATGAATTATACTGTAATAAACGCCGAGATATATTATTATTATTATTCTATGTGTAATGCTTATTTTTCTCTGCTTAGGAATGAATTTTGTAAACCATGCATTATAATAAACTATCCGTATGCGCGCGTCCTTGTTTAAATTGTCAATAGGAGAGAGGAGGGTACTCTGTGTGTGTATGTGTTATGACATAGCATTTATTAATGATCTATCCGCCTATCTATCCATTCTCTAACCCCCTCCTGTCATCATAATGTTATTATTATTGGTTTTGTTTCGTCCTGTATTCTATTTTCTTAAATGTTTGTTTGTTTTTTCGTTTTTCTTTTGCATTTATTGTGGTTTTTCCCTCTTATTTTCCCCCGGTTTATATTTGATTCTTTGATCTTATCGATGATAATGGTGATGATAAATAATATTCAGGTGCATTTCGGGATACATATACTGTACACAGTTTTTGCCAGTTAGTTTAGTAATGAAGAGAGAAAAAAACTCAGTTTATCCGTGTACCTATTATGTTTTGTGTGTGTATGTATGTATCTTATATCAGTTTATCATAATAGTTATAATTGTGTTTCTGTTTTGTTTTGTTTCTTTTTGATGGAATTACACATTATTATTATTATTATTACTATTGTTTTTAAAGTTTAATCGTTCTAGAGTATGCTTCTTTGGAAATTTCAAATAATCGAATTATTGTCTTGATAGAAAGTGGTGTTTTGATTTGTTCAACTGTTGGTTTGTGATTGAAACATGGGAGTATAATTCCATGTTTCAATCACATTATTTCTGGGGAAGGAGGGGGAGAGAAGTGCGGAAATGTCTGGCTTGCTGATGGGGATTTAAGTACTCGACTTTCAGTCTATGGATCTTAGGTTTTAATTCAGCTCCACCTATTGTTCAGTCTGGGAAATTGTGTAATATTAGGAGTCCTCAGGCAACAAATGTGGCTTATTATATACAGGCTAGAACACGAAAGACTTGTCCTGGGAACTAAAGGATCACACTACACTACATACACCATTTTGTTTGACTGCCATTAGTGTACAAGTAAAAATGAAGTGTTTCTGATGCACTAGGTCGTCTGCTGTTGGCACAAAATCGTGAAAATGCAATTTTGTATATTTAACTTCGAAGTATGAAGCCTAGATATGTCTACGAAGCAATATTTACTGTCACAGACACTAGCAAGAACTTTGAAGCCATCCATGTAAAATGCTTCCATAAACAATTCAGTTAAGTTTATATACATTCAAATAACATATTAATTAAGCCACTACACGAAAATACCAGTGGGCTATACCGTTACAGTTATCATAGTTACTGGCATATTCTTTAAACGCACTTGTTTTTTCTAACGATAATTTTTACCCAAGTGTTGTACATCGTTGCTCTGGTCTCTTCGAACTTCTTGATTTACAAAATGTTGTCTGACGGGTAACCTTTTGTTGTACAGTTAAATAAAATTATAAATCAGTCGAAAGTTTGTATTGTTGTTTTTAGAAACACAATGAAGTTATTATTCACTTCTCAATTTATAATAGTAAGAATAATATATATTTCGTATAAATAGGTAAGTTTACAAAAAATGCATGCCATTTTTACAGGCACGATCAGTTACGTCATAAATTACAATCCTGAAGTATCATAAACTAATGCTTTTTCAAGAGTTTAAATTGTTCGATTATTGTACAAGCAATCAGAGTAGGTTCGCATAAATGTTAAATTGTAAACCCTTCATTAAGGTCACTATCGAAGCTGAGCGCCAAACCAAACTTCGTTCCGTTTCCTGCTGATAGTTACGGTCAACCAGTGAACAGACTTTATTCTGGCAAGTGCTATCCCGCCACTTGATTAAAGCTATTTCAGGAAGAGAAGAACGTCCTAGGAAACTGCGAGATTGCATAAAGTACAATTATTGATAATACATCATTGGAAGTACATTTATACAAAAAGGAGGTGGAGACTCCTTGGAGTGATAGTAAACATATGCTAACCATATTGGTCTTAGCATGGAAACTATGACATTTTCAATGAAAATATAGCTTTGCTCAAACATTGGTGTTGTTGTGTTTTTCATCAAAGTAACCAGAATTCAAGCAAGCAACAAATATGAGTAAAGAGCGAGTTTTTGCTCTAATTAAGGCCTAGGCAGTTAAGATAAAGTAGTGCATAAATGTAAAAAAGTATCGTGAGGTAGATAAGTGATATTTCAGTGAGAAGTGAATTCAAAGATCTGTAAGATTAGAATCCGTAGGACAAGCTGACCTGTAAGATGTTTCATGAGTTTCTGTAGGTCCTATAGGGTAGCATCTTGACAAGAAGCTGAACAACCTTGTAGATGGTAGGAGCAAAAGCATTTATATATCAAATAATTTTGAAATTAATGTATAGATGTATCGTACCTGTCTGTCAAAATGACATGGATATTGGAAAATAATTCATTGTATTACTGAGCGCATGTTTCATTTTTAGTTTGATTAGGGCTCGCAGGAGAATAATTTTTAAGTACTTTACTATAAAGTCTCTCACCATAGGTAGGTGGTTTTAGTTTGTGGAACTACATTATAATAAATATGATGAATAAACTGTTTGTGATGATATCGTATGCCTTACGCACTACATCATGTCAATTGGAATTGGTTGAATGAATGTCGACGTGCATACAAGAAGGTGAACGTAGGACTCGCTATGTGATTGTAAAATGGAGTAATTGACAAAAATGAAAGTTAGGCGGGATTATTTTTTACTTCCTTTCATAGTAGCCCCAGAGAGAACAATTCTAAGTTAGACGGTAAAACCTTGTCAGTGGGTGCTTAGTCGGCAATTCCATTACTGTTTGATTTAGATTATATTTATTAGTTGGTGTACATTATCTCATGACTGTTTATTACTTTTAAATGAACTTCACCTAAAGAAATGATGTTTGAAAGTCAGAAAATAGCACCGCTCAACTCGGAACAAAAGTAATGTAGAAAGAAGCTTTCGTTGACAGTTCATCATTTTGTCGTCTACTGCAAGATCAGATTCCTTCAGACCACCTAAAGTACTTGAACGTCGATGAAGTGGGAATCTTGACTAATACACTTCGAAACTTAAGTTTTACAACGCACTGCATGTGTTGTGTGTGTGTAGAAAGAGAGAGAGAATGATATTATTATGCTGAGTGAATTCTGGAAGCCATTAACTTTTCGAGACTCTGAACAAACACCCATAGTGATTTATCATTCCGTAGAAACCGGTAATAGGCATAGAGCTTTTCAAAAGTTCGCAGTTACAAAATGCCATTAATCTCCCTGAGATTCGAATTGTTAATCGTCACCTGCATCACAACGTTTTGGTACTAAGTGTCTTATGGCTGCAAAATTTGACTCACTTCAAGGTGATAATGGGTTGAAATACGAAAATAGAAGACAATGATCCATCAAATTTCAACATGAAGGCTGACCAGTAATATGCTTATTTGGTGGGCAGAGAGTTCTGGGCTTTATTCACTCACAATTTGCAGGTAGTTATATTGCTTTCCGACATTATCGTTCACATGTCTTCTACTCTCTTACCTTCAGTTTCTGTTAACGGACGTAAGTATTATGTTCTGTTTTAATTAACTGAGTGGTGTGAGGGGGAGTCTGGCCACTAAGAGTAGTTCAATCTGAGGACCCAGTAGTCTGCATTATCAGAATAGGCCGTCACATAACAGTTAGGATTACCATTGGGTAAACGAGGTCAAAGTCACTGAAGCTATGTAATCAACATGGCTCATAGTACATTTTCAGTTGAAAATATGGAGGAGTATTTTCACAAAATATGTATTTCCTCAGCTAACTGCCAGATGATTGGAGTACAAATTCCACATATGCATGGGACAGTGAAAGGCCTCGAGATTGGCGTGACAAAAGCTCATCCTTCTAAAACTACCCTAGTTGGTCATACAGTATACCTTATTGTTGGTCCCACTCGGTCCCCTGCAATCTCCTTCAACTACCCTCACAACACGCTGTAGCGGTTGATAATTCCCTTTTAGTCATTAGCCTATAGCATTCACTCAACAATGGATGTTGACCTTCGCTGTGTAAATTAACTTGTTCAGCTGAAGGCATTCAGTCAAGCATCAATGCCGTTGTGTTACGTTCGTCCATTCTTACACGATCCCTTGCTAGTTAAGCAATCACCCTCGCGCTACGGTTTGGTCCTGAAACATACTTCTCATTTTGGGTGATCAGTTCAGTGTTTCGTCTTGTCTGTGGTCTACGCGAAACAAATACTACAGGGGTTGTGGGCATAAGATCTTACAATAATATAGGTCATTCTACCTGTGACCATCAGCATACTCCCTCACTTTTAAAATGATGAAGTTTCCTTCTAACACCGTCTATAAATCCCTTATGGGCACTTAAACAGTCGCTCTCGAGATCCTAGTGTGTGGCATCACTCGAGTGTCTCCTTAGAGTAATTTCGACTCACCCCCATTATCTGTGAAATAGGATCTTAGCTGATTCATTTTCAGAGTTCCTTGTTGCTAATCATTTCAAGTGGGTCATCCAATCTCCAGTATCGAGGCAGCGAAATTAGATGTTGATGAAAGTCTTTAGCAAGCTGCTGTAAACACCTCAGATGACTCACTTTCCAAGTCTGTGAACCATACAGAAACAGTGATTGGTACTGGAAAATCTGGCATTGTTTCTTGTGTTACTAGTGTTTATTTCCACATTTTAGTTTTTATAAACTTTTTCGAGTGCTTATTCATCTCACAAATGGTACTCAGGTCCTGTTTAGAATTCATCTCGGAAATTCATGAATAGTCTACTGCATATTATGCTGAACACTTGTTACATTTCGAAAATGCCTAACAAATATGCAGTGGAAATAAAATTCACAACAACGAAATTCAAGCAATAGGCTTTAAATATATCAGATTAAAAGTTTCCAGACCGCAGGTGTTACGAACTTCCACGAATATTTGATGATTAATAAAAATCCAAATAAATCTGCTGAAGAAGCTGTTGGCTTACGCGGCGAAACGTCCAGAAAAATCTTGTTTTGATTTTCTTAAACACGCTGGGTTTAATTCGAGTAATTTATATTTAAATACATCAATTTTTGGCAGTGTTCATCAGGATTCATTACCGTATTTCGATAAAATTGACCATTGACAATGATGAAGAATAATCTGGCATAAATTATGCCTTCTTTCATCAGTTTTTGGCTGTTGATTCCTAATCTCAAATGCGACGATATTTAATTCTGTTCTTGTTTTGGTGAAAGAAGACAAGCTTTTTATAGACAGTAGCAATAACACCAGTTATTTAGGTATAATAGTGGTTAAATTTAACCGTATATTCATCATGTATCTAATATCATTCTCGGTGTAATTAAATGGAGTCCCACCAGATGTCTTATATTTAGACATGTAGACGCAATGGAATATCACTAGGGGATTAATAAGTTGCACAACAATGACGATTTATTATCGTCAGGTCGAATTTCACGAGCGATAAATAAAATGGTCTACTTAACGTAGTAAGCTGCAGTATGACGTACGAAATTTAAACGGTCGATGAATGGCAATCATTGACAAGTGTATTCAAAATCCCCGAGGCGTCAGTATTGGGAGAACTTGGATCATAATAGTACTACTGAACAATAACGTTTAATCTCGTGAAAGGCAGTTAATAATTCTTGCAAATATTATTCGAAAGCGCTTTAATTTCGCTATGTTTCGGAAAATAAGGATCACAAGTGATGCATCGCACTCAGCAAAAATAGCGATGAGTTATATTGCTGAGGCAATAATGAATCTCAGGTATTTATGACTGAAAACTGAAGGCGACATTCTGGCTGACACCTCGTAGAAGAGAATATCAGACACCGCGGGAAGAATACTGTCTCCCTCTGTACTAACAGTTGGTATTCTCCCGCTGTCCAGTGTTAGCCAGTAACTCCAAAGATATAATAATATACATTTATTCAAAACGTTAAGTCTACTCGCATCCACAGGGAAACAGACTTGTTGTAATTGGCAGGAATGGTATTGAAAAGTATATCACCGCTGTTTTTGTACACTTGAATATTTTATTGCAGTTATTTAAACTTTATTCACACTACTGTCTCCTTTGTGTCGTTACACTTTCCTGTCTTTCCTAAAAGAAATCCCTTCCCATATAATTATTATTGTTATTCACTTGGATCCAGAATAGAATATCGGGCTACAGCAACACATATGTATTCATCTTCTTCTCTGCACTCCCCTTGGCTGGCCACACGAACACAAAATCACTAACCTACAGCACTCAACACCCCTACATTGGACGCTAAGCTACACTATTTGGTTGAGTCACTGGGCTAACTGGCCATCCACGCCGTCTGGCTCGCCATCGTGTTACGTTTGCTCACTCGTGCACGATCCCTTGCTATTTAAGCAATCATCGTCTCACTAAGATTTGGTTCTTAAACATACTTCGTATTTCAGACAATCAGCTCAGTGTTGCGATTTACCTTTGGTGTACGCGAAACAAATACTATAGGAGTTACGGA